GGTTTAAGGCTTCCAAAAGAGGAATGGCCAGCAACAGACTCTCAATGTAATTTTGAAGAACCTTTAAAGGAAAGGGAAGGAGGTCATTTCATTAATCAACTCTGCTAACATATATAAAGAATGGTCTTTGTGCAACTTCTTAAAATATATGAAAATTGTGAGGCTACAAGATTGGATGCTACAGTTTGTGAGAAGTTGCCAACACTCGAAATACGAGATCAAAAGTCATCTAATTGTTCCAGAACTGGATGCTGCAGAAAATAAACTCATGAAAATTGTGCAACAAGAAACCTTAAACAAAGAAGCTGTGGAATCCAAAATTAAAACACTCTGCGCATTCACAGATGAACTAATTAGATTAAAAACTAAAATTACCAGAAGAGATGATGCAGAATAATTTTAATGCTCTCTAACCTTACTTTTAAACCATCCATTAGTGGAACTATTAATTTTCTAACGGCATTTAATTTCTTCACATGTCAAAGTTCAAATTGTTCTGGTAGATATTCGACAAAACGTTTGGCTTTTACGGGGTAGAAAGACTATTCAAAGAGTACTATCAAAGTGTATACAATGTAAAAAAGTAAGTAATTTCACTCTTTTACACCGTATACACTCCAGTAATTACTGGAGTTTATCTGGCAGAACCGCTTCATTTAAGAGGTGGTAAGAAGGCATCTTCTTACCATTTAAGAGGAATAGAAGGCATGGATACTGCTATTCACATGTGCAGTATACAGAGCATTCCATTTAGAACTGATACAGAGCCTCTGGGCCAATCAATTTCTTTTAGGATTAAGAAGGTTCAGTGCGAGGCGAGGACGTTTTAAGACCATATACAGTAACAATGGAATGAATTTTGCTGAGACAGATTATTTTATGGGTTCCCTTGGCTGGGATAAGATTGCAAATCGCTTCTCTTTGAAGAAATTCAGTGGAAATTTAACCTCCCACCCCCAACAGCCGCTTATTGGTGTGGATTTGGAGAAAGAATTTTTCAGCTGTGAAAAAGATTTTTAAGAAAATTTTAGGAAAAGCTTCACTTTATTATGAAGAGATGTTTGCCATACTTTGTGACGGTAAAGCCATCATCATTTCTCGACCACGGAATTATTTATTAGAAGATCCGAACGATTTAATTCCACTGACACCTTCAATGTTCATTCAAGAAACGACAACGGTATAGGAGTTCGTGGTTTATATACTTTAGAGAATGCAAATATCTCTAACGGATGTAAGTATCAACAAAAAGTACGAGATGACTTCAAAGATTTCGAGAATCTTTTAGCATGTTAATTCAGCAATTAGTGAGAAGTGAAGCAATATAAATAATGTTGGGTGATATTGTTATAATTGGAAGTGGCACTAAAAAGCGACTGGACTTTAGGAAAGATTACCGATATGTTCCCTGGGAAAGACTATTACACCAGAGTTGTACAGTTGAAAACAACAGATGGTGAACTTCTATGTCCTGTGAAATTATATTCCTTGAAGTTAAATAATGACGTTCCTGTTGTTGGAAACTGTGGTCAGGTTAGTTCTGATAAAGCTAGTAAAAATCAGAAATCTTAAAATAAAGACTGCGCAATGAAAACTAGAAGTGGAAGGAGAGTTATAACTAATTTTCGAATTTTCCTCCAAATTTTGTGTATTTTTTCTATTTAGAGTGTAAAATTTTTTGTTCATTCGAATTTTGATTTTGTGTCATTTTAGTCTAAAATCAAAAGTTGGGAGGGTGTCATGACCTCTCTTTGGAGCTGAACCAAATCAGTTTCATTGTTGAGCATGATGAAATTATTCATTTTGAAAATAGCATAGTTTTTGTAGATGGAATAATAAAATGAAATGGAGTCAATAAAGGTTGCTTGTTATTTTGTCTTTTGAAGGCACAACATAACATTCAAGTACAGAAACAACTGAATGAAATGAAATGAAATTACTATTACTTTGAACAACATTAGTTTTCAGAACATTAACATACGAATCAACATTTGACTTTATATGCTCGAAGAATCTCTTACTTACCCTGAATGATGTTTATTCTGTCTGAATATTCTAAGCTTGTAAATCGACTACTATACCATGAATAGATGGATCTTCCTTTAGATTTTCCTTAAGAAATTTTTCACAGCAAATTTAAGGTGGTTGGAGTGATCCTGCAGTTTCTTGGGAAAATTCAGAGGTTTAATACAGTCAACTTGATAATAACATGGTTTGTGTAATAGCTGATTAAGTATATCATTCACATCTCTATCACTGTCGGTGTCTAAGTCCGAATTTTCATTTTCACTATCAACATCTAACATATCTTTCGAAGCTATGTAGAAAAATCACAAGGCTTGAAGAGAAAAATTGCACTAAACGCACAATCACTACTAGAAAAGCACACGATAATTGAAGAAACAAGTGGTCCACACTTCTTTCATTTCTGCAATGGGAAAAAAAAAAAAAAACTTTTGATACTGTTTTTTTTTTTTTTTTTTGTCAAATTTATTATCCTTTGCTTTTTGCTTGTCTTAAAATTCTATAGATATCTTCTTTAAAGATAAATCTTAACATTTCTCAAAAATATTTTCTTCAATTTTCCACAAAGAAAGAGCTAATACTTTTATTTTGTTTGCTTAATTCAATATTGTAAAGCTTGCAAAGCTTATTTACTTAGAAGAGAAATGTCTTCATAACTTTCTGAGGGAAAATTATTCATATTTATTTTACACATTGGGAGTACCATGAAAACACTCACACAGCCAACACATTTGCTAGAATTTGAGTCCAGGTTAATTAGTTATTAGATATACAACTTTATATACAGTTACAGTTTTTGATTGCAGGGCTTTATTTATCTTCTTGGTCTTCTGTAGTAGTCCAAGTAGATAGCAAACATAAAATTAATTTCCATCAAGAGGTTATTAGTTTCAGCCCATTGCAAAGATTTATCATTTAAAGTCTTATATACATTAGACGCCTTTATGGAATTATTTTGCTAATGCTCATCTGCGAACAGAATAGCTTCCACCACATTACTTGTGCTCATAATTCTGTGAAACATGTCAGTGATAACAGTCTTGGATATGATCGAACTCAACACTGAGCTCTGAGACAGTCCCTGCCGAGTTTTTCTGAGCCACTGAACTTGGTTCTAATAAATCGCCTCAGAGGCCGAGCCGTAAAATTGCTGAATACTGGTAGCTCTGTCTGGGGATCGCTTTCCGGCAAACAGGCTGGCTGCATGGTGTTTTCTTCGAGTGTATACGCGCTGGTTTTCCTTAGAAAGTCTTCCACGAAGGCTATCCTTTACCTTAGGCAGATAGCCTTTGAGTAATCAAATAAACCAAATTTGATAAATCTCTGATCTACGAAGGCTTTAATCCAACTATAAATATTTCCATACACTCCCAAATTGATCATCTTATAAAGACTACTAATTTTCTCCACACCCCATCAAAGACAGTTTAAAAGTAAATAGATATACCCACAGAGCTCTTTAACAAAAGTCATCTGTAATTAACTTGATTAGTCTGGCTAGCTGTTCCACAATATTCTGATTTTTCCTAAAATCCACTCATCCATCAGATATATAGTCGCATCTCACCCGTTTAAAAAAAAAAAAAAAAAAAAAAAATTGTATTAATGATTGGTCATTCTGTTAATTTACACAAAGTACTACTGAGAGAGACAGATCCATTACTTGATAATTCACTTGGATTTTTATCATTCTTGAAGATTAGTAAAAATTCTAGAGCATTCTCAAAATTTCTTATAAAATACAGAAAACAAGAATTCAGAAATTATAATTCAGAAAGATAATTCAGAAAACAGAACTGCATGCATCTTTCCAGGTTTTTTCATAAAGATGTAGGCAACTTTATGGCAATTCAGAGTTATTTTCTAACTCTGTTCTAACAAGTTCATATAACTACTAAACTTGCCAAGACATTGCCAAATTGAACAGTGAATTTTCTGCTAATAAAAACTGATATGTATGATTAAAAACTCCATGTTATAATATATTTATCTATTTTCTCTACAGTTTCATCAGTATGGTTTAAGCTGAAATAAATGTGTTATTAAGCTATGATAATTTTCCCTCTTTTCATAAAAGAAAATTACCATCTCTTTTTTTCATTTCGTATTCATTAGACTTAGAACAGGAAAACATAAAATTTTCAAAAGCTTTCTGAAAGCTAAGACCAATTACTTTCAAGAATCTAAAAAGCATTTTTTTTTTTTTTTTTTTTTTTTTTTTTTTTTTTTTTGTGATGCAACCACTAAACTGAAAGAAAAGGAACACTTCTCACAGGTATAAAACACAAAAAGTTATCTTTTTATGATGTATGAACATGTGCTTGAAGTATTTAATATTTTCTTTTCTGTTTCATAGGAATTAAGGTAATTAAAATGCTGCTTAATGATGTAAAGTATCAATTGAATGAAAGCTCAGATATTTTACAAACTCACTTACAAGAAAAATAAAAATACTCTAGCTTATTTAAAAACACAAATACAACATAAATACATAAAAACATTATATATAATTATGATATTATTTAAAATTATTTATACAGAATAGAATTACATATACAGAGAGATGTATTCTACAATAATACAAATCAGGAAAGACATTTATTCTTTTTTTCATTAAAAAAGGGAAGGTGATACTAGCTTCATAATTTCTGAAATTAACACAAACAACAAAGCTTAAAGAAACATTTTTAAGTATAAATAACACAATGCTGTAACTAATATTTTTATGACAAAATAAATTCACTAAAACATTTTAATATAGCCCACCAGCGGCCGAGCAGTAAAGTCGCTGAACACTGGTAGTTCGCTCCGAGGTTCAAATCCTGCAAACGGGCTGGCTGCATGGGCGTTTTCGTGGTTTTCCCCATGTGTAACATGTATACGAGCCAGTTTCCCTTAGAAAGTTCTCCACGAAGGCATCCCTCCCCTTAGGCAGATAGCCCTAGTGTGCTTTGTTATAATTAAATACACCAACACCATTTTAATATATTTATTTACAAATTACAAATAAGGTCTACAATTCTTGAAATTGCTATTTATTTGTAGCAAAAATAAAGCTTAACTGTAAAAAATTAGAGCACTATTTAAAAAAATACTAGTAATGAGAATTAAAATTACAGCTACAGCCATTTTACATTTACAATAATAATAATATTTAAATACAATATGTAAGCATAATTTTAAGTACTGGTTCATTTATGTCTTCTTAAGTTTCATTGCAGTCATTCATTTCCCAAATCATAGATGAAATCATCTCTGGGCACAGTACAGAATTTACAATTATCAAACTCTAACTCACCTTTAATTTCCTATTCCTAAAACAGAAACTCGATAGGAAATCCATAGAGTCTGTAATATAATGTATGCACTGAGAGAGTGTGCACATCAAAATCAAATGTCATAGCTGCCAACTTTAAAATATGAAAAATAGGGAGGTTTCCAACGATTTTCATTCTAAATGATGACACCATTTTAAGAGAACTCCAGTTCACTTTATAACGTATGTTTCAGGTTGATAAAAAATGTATTAATTTATTATTAGTAGTAATTGATAAATTTTATGCTCTTGGGCTTTTCATCTTACAATTTTTTTATACTGAGAAAATCCCGAGAAGGGCAGAACAGTATTTTTTATTAAGCTACTTTTAAATGTGACGAAAAGATAATTAATAATTAGCATATATAGAGCTGTGTGCTTAAACTTAGTCATGTATCATTTATGGATGTGAAACAAAATTAAATACAAACATTGCCTACATCATCATAAAAAAAGTCCTACAAGTGTTGATAGTAGATTTAGACAATTCAGAACAAATAAGAAAAAATTATGCTGACAGTAACTACAGGTGGAAGAATGGAATTTGCACACCTTAAGTTTCATTAATTTAACAAATTTAACTTATAGCTTGGAAAAATTTTCTAATGCAAAGGCCAAAAATAAAAAATCAGGAGATTTGATTACATATACTTAGAGATGTGCTTAAAAAAACCGAAAGTATCACGGTAAAAAGGGAAAGTTGAAAATAATGAATGATGAATAAGCAATATGCTAGCTTTCAACAGGGAACTTTTGAGAACAAAAATTCACCAAAGTTTTTAAGGCATTAATTGTAAATACTGTGTATAAAGTTTATGAACTGAATTTTATGATTTTGCCAAAAGTGGAAGGAAAAAAATTATATTGTTGAGACACTGGAGATCATACTGTATTTATAATTCCTGAACAACTGGCCTTAGCAAAATATGAATACACTGCCAACTACTTTACCACCTTCCTGAGTGACAAAACGTTTGAATGTCTACAAGAAACAAAAGTAAACGGATACTAGTGATAATTTCTAATTAAAAGGCAAAAAAAAAAAAAAAAACGTTAAGATCCAAAAGTCAGAATAAGAGTATAATTTTTTTGGGGGTAAGATGGCACTGTGAAGATTTATTTCTTTTAGAAAGGTTAAGCAGTTAACATAGAATAATTTTTGTAAAAAAAGGCAATGGGAAGTCCACTCTGATTATCAGCCATATACATGTATAATTTAATACTACTATAAATTTCTGAATTAATAAAAAGGAAATACAGGAAGAAAATTGACGAGAATAACTGCAGAAAAATTCTCTTTTTGTAGAATTACGCATCTGCTTATAAGATAACAGAAGTTTTGAAGCAGCTTTTGTTTAAATGCATAGATTATTCATTTTAATTTCCGTATATTCAACATACAGATTTCATAATTTTGTGATTCGTTTCTTGGTCAAGTCAAGAGCTTTTCAGCAGCAAAACTTTCTCAGAGTTATAAATTAATGGATAAATTTCTCTAAAATAATGTCAATTAATACATGAATTTTTTTACTGTATGATCTAAAATAAATATCATGATATAGTAAAACAGTAATTCACAAAAACTAAATTAATCAAAATACTGTATTAAACAAAAGGATTGCATTATATTAAATTTTCTTCAAGACTGCTCATAATGAAACATCAATCACACTAAAACAACTCTGTCATTCAAATTATAACAATTTTATACAATGATATTTCAAATGAAAAAAAAAAATACTTTTACATAAAACTCTATGTTAAATACAGTTGGGAGCTCAACTTTAGATAAACACAGTATTTATAATAAAATACACGCACAAACTAAAATTAAGAAAAAAATATTAAAAAAAAAAAAAAAAAAAAAAGATAATTTCCAGTGCAATTAAAGTTATACAATAAAATAATATATACAGTTCAATTATAAACAAATTCTGTGCAAATTATAAACAAAAAAGTGATTTGAATCAGAGACTGACAAAAAAGTTGAGATAAAAACTGTTATCTATATTTCAACAATTACTGAAATTTTTCATACTTAACAATTTATTTAACTAAGAAAGAATAAAAATAACATTCAACTGATCAAAACTGTCTTAAAAAACTTACACTGAAAATATAATGATTTATTCTAAAAAATGTTATTAATGTCATTGATATTAGCGAATGGAATGCTTTACATAAAAATTTCACATGTAATCCCTCTTTTTCATTTTAAATAATTACTGATACTACACAAAATTCTTCATTCTCAAACTACATTAAAAATAAGAATTACTGAAATATACAGCTATAATGAAAACTCACAAAACAGAATGGCTTTAAAATATGTATATTAACTAAAAAAACTATATTATATTAACTATAAAAACACCCATGCAGAATAAAGTGCTTTATTTGTTGAAAAAATAAATACTGCACATCAAAACTCAACATTTGCTTCAACTATAACTTTGAAATTCCTTTATGATAAAAGTCTGCAATGAATTTTTAAAACATTAAATCTAACTAGTAACTAAAATTGCTGTATCTAAATAATAGACATTTAATTTCAGTTTCTGAAAATTACTTAAAGGCAAAGAATTAAAAATCAAACAATTAAGAATAATACATATTTGAATATGAAATCTAATTGCTTTTAAATGCTGATTTTATGATTTTATTCTAAAAGATGTAACATTGTTTTGCATTCCTCTCCTGTGAAGGAAAATCAAGGATAAGAAGAAATTTAATATAGAATTTCAGCTAATGTATTTTAGCAGCTCCTTAAAAGTTCTTGCAAACATGTTTCATTCACTATTAAGTCTTATTATTTTAGAGCAATCTTAATCAATCAGTATTGCTTGGTAAATATGATTCTGATTGTACTGAAAAAATGAACTTTTTTACACTTATAAATCAGAAATTATGATTTTTTTTTTTTTTTTTTTTTTTTTTTTTTTTTTTTTTTTTTTTTACTACAGCAGCAAGTAAATATTTGATACACAGTTAACACGCATTTCTACTCAATTAAAAATTTTACAAATATTACCTATTCCTAAAAGTTGCTTTAGGACCTCTAAATGTAATGTTAAATATTTTAAAGATCTGATTTATTAGGTTATTTAGTCCATTTAAAAAGAAAAAAAATTCAAACAAAGCACCCTCTTTACATCCAAGAGTTTTGAATAAATTACTTAATAGACTAGTTAGCTTGAACTATAAAGGATTTGTAATATTTTTAATTATCAAATTTCAGTTCATTTCTGTTCCTTTTCTATACTTGGTATTGGCAGTAAAGGATTTACTTAATGATTCCATGAATTACAACTTGCAAATGCAATTAATAGTTCAATAAATTAGTAAACATCAAGTAATAATTTAATTAATTCATAGATTAGAATTAGTAGTCAATTTCATATTTGAACATGAATTGTTAATTTAGTTATTTTAAATCATAAATCCTCTTTTGCTTTGAACTGGATATGTGTAAAATGCTTTTGCAGTTTTATTGTGGAAATCCTTTTGATTTTAGAAATTTGTTTATGGCTTTCATTACATAATAGCAGGCAGTATGGGACTGTCCTGCCTAATAAAGAATTCTGGTATGAGCAATGTGCATTAGTTTCTAAGTAGCAGAGAAAAAAAAAGGGGGGTAAAAAGAAGATTATCAGGCACTGTCTTTATATCAGTTTTCTTCTGAATACAAAGCAGAAATGGGTTGAAGAATATGTAACATTTATGACAATAATGCTGTTTTAGAATGAACATACCTATATTTATTTTAACATTTTTGTAATAGTGATAAGCAACGTGAAGATCAACCAAGGCCTGAAAGGTCCCAAGAACTGAAATACAAGAGATTGTTAGAATCTACTCCCAGCAATGGTGAAGATCAGCTTCATGGGATAACAAATGAGAAGTAGATTCTTACTGTGGGATATGCGGTAAAGTTGGACACTTATGTACTACAGATTTATCAGAAAAGGGAAGAGAGTAAATTCTTGTGTGTTAAGCCTTGTCAAGCAAAATGCATCAGGATTTTTGCATCAGTCGTAAATGGATTTTCTATCAGAATGTAAAATAACACAGAACTTTTGTTGGCCAGGCAAATCTTCAAAATTTACTGCAAAACAAAGTTTGCATAACATAAAAATGTGGAAGACAGTTAATTGGTTATTTAGTCTGTTTCCAACTATCAGTGGAGCAATCTATTGCCAACTGCTATCACCAAATCAAACATAAAATGGAGTGATATATTACCATTATTTGGACAAGCTTTGCAATGCTCTGACAGAAAAGTTCCTAGAGCTGATGAATGGTCAAGAAGCTTCATCATAGAGTTTCTGCAAGACACCATGTATTCCATCATAAAAATGCAAGACAATATACATCTGTCTGAACGCATACAGCACCCCTCTTATTCACTGGGTATTGCTTCAAAAGATTGACACCTGCTTAAAAAAATTTTCTTTAAGAAGGGGCATATAACAATGCAAAGGATGTTCATGTTAAATCAAAAATACAATAAAATAAATTAAATAAATTAAAAAAAAACTTTTTGACAACAAAGAAGATTCAATCTGCAGAAAGGTCTGGAAAAATTACTTGATAGTTTGCAGTGGTTCACTGGTAATAATAAAAAATATATTGTAAATTGACAACCCATACAGGTGTTACACAACATGATAGAATTCAAATATATTGAATTCTTTCACTAAAACCACAGGATCTTTTGCACATACCCAGTATATTGTTTTTGTCTTTAAAAAAAGTTATGGTTTCAGATGCTGAATTTGCTAACTAGCAAAATATTTTTAATTAATAAGAAGGAAAAAAGAAAACAACAGAACATAAAATCAACATATTTTTAAAAAAAATAAATAAAAAATAAAAAAATAAAAAAGCAAAGTTAGATTTGTATGAAGGTGAAATAGTAACATAATATGTTATGATACTCTATTTTCAGTTTTAGAAATTTAATACATTAAAAAAAAACTTCTAGTACATACTTTAAATAATAATAATAAAAAAAAATCTGCCATGCCACCTCATTCATTAATAAGCAAAACTAGCAGGACCCTCCAAAAAAATTAATAACAGTTAACAGTTGTGAGAATCATTAATAATGAATTTTATATCTGAACATGATGCAACTGTAACTATTATGAACTTTTACTATCTTAAATTTTAAATCATTGTTTTGTTACGTTTTTCAAGTTATAGTAAAAAAAATTACACATTTTTCAAGGTTCTTAAGTATTAATGCAAAAATTTAATAGAATTTGCCAAATTTTAAGAATGTGGTGTACTCTGACAACTATGCACACAATAATAAATTCTTCAGCCACTGGTGCACATGAAGACATTTCAGTTTTAACAAACAATGCTACCATTTCTATGTGTATTTTGTTTTCCCATGGTGTTGCATTCCAAATTGCAAGCTTTTTATGGACAAATTATGATAGCAATTGCCAAGAAATTTCCACCACAACAAGAAAAAACACCTAAGTAATTTATTGATTAATTTTTGAGAAAAATATCTAATTAGAATGTACATATATGTAAAAAATAGTTTTTTTAAATGTAAGATATATTTTATCTTCTATAAAAAACTGCCAAATTATGCCAGGGTGACTGTGTTAATTCATAAGTACCTTTTTTATTCTACTTGTATTTAAAACTTCACTGAATTAGTAATTTCATTTGAAGAATATAGGATAAGGATTTCATTTTTTTTCAAATCTCAATAATACATAAACATTATTTTACATACTAAAGTAATATCCTATACAAATCGCTTAATTTTAATTTGACACCAATATTCCATAAGTACTAAATATCCACATCCTATTTTACATTCATTCACTAACTGAAACAATTAGGCTATAAATTACTTAAATTCAGTTTAAAATAAACTAAACAAATACATAATTTTGTGGCAAATGACAGATCATTGTAATGTTTTTTAAATAATTCTATATTATATGTAGTATTTACAAAGATAAAATATTTCAAAACAAAACAATCCCTAAATAGTAACACTTTATTTCATATATTAACATGTCACTTTTACACTGTGTTTCATAACACAAATGATTATATTTGTTGATTCTCGATATAGAATTAATAGCTGCTTCTTTCTAGCAAGGACGGAGAATACAATTGTGCATAGTATCAATATTCAAATGATTCCTACTTCCTAATACTTTTATAAAAGGTATCAGTTCACATTAAATCATTCTGAAAAAATTAAATTTGCAATGTTCTATTTCCTTTAGTCTTGTTAATAATATGGATTATTTAATATTTTAACATTATTTATAATATGAGGCAATTAATCATTTAGGTGTCTTCATATGTAACTTTGAAGGCTATGATTTCATATGGCTTATCACATCACAGTTTACATCTTTGCATGAATCAACTGAAGTCAAAGGCCTGTTTTCAGTATCTGAATTCAAATGAATTACAGCCACTGTACTATTTACTGAACCACGATTCACAGAATAAGATGTTACTGGAATATTGTATGTTTCACTACGGCGAGTTTCCTTCCTCCATAAAGAATTACGATCCAATTCTTGAGGAACAACAATAAATATTTCACGGTCTTTCCCTCGAATTTGTTCACGAAGGTAGGAAACCAGGTCAGTAGTCTGAAATATGAAACAAATTAATTAAATTATATTGCTGAATTGAAAAATAATTACACGTAAAAATTTTTTTCTTTCTTCTTAAAAAATTCTTAAAGCAATATTACAATTTTTGAGAGATAATATACGACAAAAATAAAGTGTATAATAAAAATAATAATAAAAAAAAAAAAATAAAAAATAAAATAAGAAACAAAGTAGAACCATTATGTTTAGCATGCCATACATAACTTTTAATATTAAAAAGCTCAAAGTTAATTTTGATGCACGATCTCAAATACAATCATTTTAATGCATAATATCAGTTTATGATTGCTCCCAAAGATTAATAATAAAATTATATTCAACAATACAAGATTAACTATATTTATTCTTCTTAAAAGTGAAATTCCTACCTAGTTCAAAATGATTCCATCATTTAGTCACAAAATGACATTACATTAATTGTAAATAAAATTAATTATATTGATATTAATTATCTTTCCATCCTGAAAGAGTTTACTCATATTTTATATGAAATTTCCATTCATCATCAGGAAACTCAAACAAGTGCAATGTTTTAATTTAAGATCATGTCTGAAGGCATACATGCTGAAATTTTAATTCAGAAACAAATATAAGATAAACTGTGAATAATGGATTATAACTATTAAGAGCAAAGGCAAAAATTTTTAGAATAAAAAGAACAAACAGGAAGAAAGGAGATACACAATATTAATTAACTGGCATTAGATGCACTGCATATTTAACAAATGACAAATATAAAAAATGATTTGAAAATATAAGCAAGTGAAGTAAACCTCTAGTCCTCAAGTAGCAAAGTTACACAAATGCTTGTAATTTTCACTAATGTTATTTATCTTACTGAAGAATTTCCTTGAATAGCATGATATCTGCAGTCCTTTTCCCATATTAATTATCAATCATATTTAATACCAAATGCAATGTCACTTGGCTTGAAAAAAAAATTAAACTGCATTACTTAATTTTCTAAAATGTCTAATTATAATGATGACACTCATGATAAAATTATCATGGGTTTTAATGAAAGTTTCCTGCCACCGCAAATATCGCTTGGCAAACAGTTCATGTTGGTGTGTTTAATCTTAGTTTGCCACACGATTTTCGGCATTTGAAAGAAACAGACTTATTTTAGAATACTTGTGAAATTTCTAAAAAATATCACCATCATTAAGTGCAAGGTGTCCGAAATGGAACTATCATGCTACCAGATTAGAACTATCATTTACTTATAGTTCTGTCACAAAATGTCAGCTACAGAATGTTACCAAATCATGTGTATAGCTTTAGATACTAATGTATCATATGTCACTCTGACGGTTTCGTATCAAAAGTTCAAAAACATGGAATATGACATTCAAGAAGCAGAGCTCTCTAGGCAGCCTACTGATGTTGATGAGGACCACCTGCGAGAACTTGTGGAAGAAGATCAGTACGCAACAACTCGAGAGCTTGCTTAGTACCATGTTCATTACTCGCACTATGTGTTGCATACAAGTTCAATTGCTAGGTGCCGCATCAGCTGACTAAGCAGATAAGGACAGATGTGTTCGGGCGTGCACTAATCTATTCGAATATCAACACAAAGACAAAATTCTGCACCGGATCATCACTTGTGATGAAAAGTGGATTTGCTTCAACAACACAGGCTGAAAAGGGGGTTGGTTTGCACCTGTTGAGATCCTAAAGTGCAATTTGACTAACAAAAAGTTCATGCTTTGTATCTGGTGCTTTGTATCTACAGCACCGATTCTCAAACTGTGGTGCATGTACCACTGTACCATTACATAATTTTTAGTAGTACAATTTTTAAAATTAAAATTAAAAAATTAAATGAATGTTCAAATTTAATGTAAAATGATGCCTCTTTTAACATTTTATTTTAATTTTTATTATTCAGGAACACATATATAAGTTTTTTACTTTTGCGGATCTAAGATTAATGCTAAAATGACAACTTTTCCAAGAAAATTGATTAAATTTCACAACATTCACCACCACCTACAAAACTGATAAACAACAACTAACAAACAAAAAAACACCCAAACACTGTACATATATTATATATTTACCTTCCCAATAGAAACTGGACTGTCTAACTTTGAATCTAAATTATAAAATATTCCATTTATTTCTTTCACTGCTATCCAGTGTTTTCTGTTTAGTCTTAGAGGCAAAAATTTCATTTCGCTGGGTATATTCAAAATCAAGCCATAAGTCTTGCTGAAATCTATGTTACTTGGATCTCTATAAAGTAAACAAAATCTGCACATGAATAAAATTATATATATCTCAAAATAGCAAAATGAATAAAAACTAAATGCATAAAACAAGTTTCAAGTTTACAGAACATTTAATACATATTTTAGCATATTCTCATAAATTAATGAATTATCAACTTTGAAAATAAACTCTATGTAACATAAATTATATATATGTTAAAAAAGGATTGAAATTATACACAATCGATGAAATTCATTTTCCCCCAAACACTTCACAGTTTTGGAACTTGTCACACAAAAGTATCCACACGGCTCTTCTCATTATGACAGAGCACAATCACCACTGCTAAGAACACTGAACACAATGCAACACTGCAACTGTAAGCATAATAATATTTAAATTTACTGTAAATTTTGTGATTATTATAATTTATTAATTACATTCCACATGTGATTATGTATTTCTTAAATTTCTTAACTGTTGACTAATAGAATGACTGGAGATTAACAACCTCTGAAAAGTCAATCTAAAATCATAAAGCTGGCAACAATTCTGTTTATTTTATTTTATTAATACAGTAAATTTAGGCTATGTTAATTTTAAATTTCAGTCTTACACTTTTAATTTTTCACACTCCCAAAAATTTCCCCTAATTTTTTCCCCTCATTGTGTTAAAGAAATTATTTGTTTAATTTATATATAGTATATATATGTGTGTGTGTGCGTATGCACAAGTGTGTGTGGTGTAAGATAAAAAATATGTAAATATAAATTATAATTTAAATTACAAACAATGCTTTAATTTTTCATTTTAATTTAAGTACTTCCCTTCTTTATTCTAAAAATAGTAATACAGTTTTCTGGAATGCATAATTTCTAGATTAATACCATCACATGACTTTTACATAATGATGATGATGTAATTAATTTGGAACTTAACTCAAAATTTTGAGAAACGAAACTTTTCTCTTTTAATAAGCTATCATATTAGATAACTAAAGTTTGCTTCTGCCTCTTAATAAAAGTAGGCTGCTACTTACTGCTTTCTTCCTGTTGCAACATTACCAGAAATGTAAATAGTCTGGAAATAGGCATGATTAGAGTGCCAAGTGGGTTCTGGCCACAACTCTCAATTGAAATAAAAAAGAATATTTAAGTTGTCTCAACTTCCAAGCTGGCTCTTTATTATGGATTAACATTTGTACACATCCCCTTTCTACATTATTACATAAAAATCTACAATAGCATTGCATATATATAAATCTAAATAAATGTAAAAAGCAGTTCAAAACCTTATCCAATTGTGTGCTGAAAACCAGCAACAAGTGGTGGGAATAATGCAAAATAAAATTAAAATGATATGTTTGAAATTCATCCCATATTTGATTTAGAACAAAAATAAGCAAAAAACAAAGATATCAGTTGCAAACTGAAAGAAAAGGGGCAAAACATGCCCAAACCAAAAATGAAAAAAGAAATTTACATCTTTCACTGCATCATCATCAAGGGTAGAATGAAAGCATTAAATAAATTAGCCAGTTCCTGAACTAACAAAGACCAAAACTTGAAAATAATCCCAGGAAAACAATCAAAGCAATCTGTATCCTAATCAGTCCAACCCCTACAATCCGAAATAAGTAGCATAAAAAACTATAAAAATAATAGCATAAAAAATTGTAAAATAATAACATCAAAAATATAGTCAATTTAAAAAAGAAAAAAAAATATTTTTTTGAGTAGACCAAGTCAAAAAAACAAAACATGCAAAATAAACAAACAAGCATGCAAAAACAAGTAATCCAATACATGAAATAATAATAACATATGTACATTTTAAAACCATACAGGCCAGGTTAAAGTTTTTTTTTTTTTTTTTAAAGAATTATAGCATAAGAATTAAATATAGTATTAGCATCAGAAACAAGCAAAAAAGATAACAAATCTAATAATAATAATAATTTTCAATTTATGTGGACTGAGCCCAAAAACATGTAAAAACAGAAGCTATCCAACATGTGAAAAAATAGTAAACAAAAATTTGACTTGAAAAACACAAAAAGAGGAGTTAGTTCTTAAAAATCTGCAACATTACAGCAAAAGAAATTTTAAAATGAAAAAATATATTTGACCCACTCAGTAGCAAAATACTGTTGCTAACATTGAGTTGGTCTTGCTTAATTTCAGACATTCAGGGTAGATATTGGTGTTTCCAATGAGATTAAAATTATTAATAGCTACAATATCAACAATATATCTGAAGGCAAATTTTTGCAAATCATTTCAACTAACTGTGGGTTATCTTAATCTATGCATTGTCAGTCTCCAGAAATTAAAACTTTATGATAAATGAAGAGATTTCAACTTAATTACAATTAAACTAATTGACTACTTTAATAATATCTCCAAAAAGGTAACAGGAAATACTATTTATAATAAATTAAAATACATTAAAAATATTTGCACTTAAGTAGAACAGCAGCAGACAGAAATATTATTACTTATATAAACTTAAGCAGATAATCAAGTTCCATAAGCTTTCATTATATTACATCTATTAAAAGTTGGAGTATTCTACGACCTATGAAGATTGTGTAACATTATGAACTTTAAACTAATACAATTCAAGCTTAATTGTCTCAGTGCACGATAGAAGCAAGATCAAACTGAATGGAAGAACTTGCTGTTAGTCGCCAAGCTCATGATACATAGCCAAATATGTATAGTGAAGGATAGCTAAATTTGATGATGATAGCCACTAATTTTAAAGGTTTTTGTATATCGCAAAACAAACGTGAAATTTTCTTATTCCAATTTTGTAAAGAAATGTGGAGAAGTGTTAATGAATGAAGGATGATATATTTTTTTTTTCCATGGTGATGACAATGTTCTCAATCGTCAATAAATCGATGGAATGGCAAAATCTGTAGTATGGTTCCTAGATCCAGAAAATGCCGCTACCTGATGGTGAAGAAAGTGACAGAGTGGTTACTGAAAACGAAAAAATTTTAATTGACAAGTTAGTCGTATTCTCGACATAGCAATTACAGGACTTGAACAAAATGGAACTTTGTAACTAAACAAGAAGATTATGTCCGTCTATAGAATTAAAGAGAAAGTATTGGCACAAGATGAAGCAACTTAAACAACTTACATTGAAGGAAATGTTTAATAAGATAAACAAATAAATGTTAAGCTTTTTTTTGTAAATTTTGATACCCTTTAGATCATAAATACTTCATTATTTCATAAATAATGATTTCATATTTTGAATTTTATAATTTCTACATACCATCTTACTAGATTTAATCTGATGACCTAATATCGGGAAAAATCTCAAATCCAGAATCGCTGAAGTCCCGACAAGTCTGGATTTTGGACTTTGTACTGTATACATTATACACATACACACATATAATTAGCTCATGAATTTTCAATTTTATAATCAAATAAATTCTTAAATTTAATCATAAAAATAGATTATGTCAAGTACATTCTTTATTTTAAAATCAGAACAAAATACATAAGAATTAGGGGAAAAGGTGCACTTGAATAACAAAATCTGATATTTCAAACAATCTAATTCATCTTACTTTCGTTTATCAAACCACATAGCTTCATAACCTTTCAACTGTAGTGCAGCCATTAAAACATTCACATCATAATTACCAAGACCAAGCATACTTTTATGAGGATTCACCAAGTTATCAGGAGACAGACTAAAAGAAAACAATATGCAATAAATATATAGCATTACCAGATCAAATTAACAATTGAATTTTAGAAAGGAGCCTCAGAATAAAAAATAAATAAAATTATCTCTCTATCGATTCCTTGCATACATGTACACATGCATAGTCTCTCTCTCTCACACATACACTTTAAAAAAATCGGAATGCCAACTCATATGCTTACAGCACTAAAAGAGATAATTTGCATGAAAATCTAATATGCCTTATGATATTGTGCTTATAAACATTATACACCATATGAACTAAAAATTATTTTGTTAAATTTGAATTGTAACAGATTAACTGAAAGTCATTAAAAACAAAATTCAATTTTTAGTCAAAATACAGGATTTAAAAGTTAAGGCTATAAAAACAGATCTAAAATTCTCTAAATTTAAAAATTATTTATCTCCAAAATCATATGCATTTTATGGTACTTCAGACATATAGTTAAAAAATGGACATTTGTAAATCCTTTATTAATATGAATATCTTGAGCCTGAAGAGCATGAACTGCTATAAGTAAATTAATAATAAATTATTAATTAAATAATTAAATAATAAAATATTTTAGCTTTTATCCCAAACTGAGAAAAATTAGTATATCTGCTTCTCCATGAAATGCTGGGAACTCATGTCAGCTTTGTGGAAACCATATGTGTGTCTATCTTTATGGTTCATACGCACTGTTCTCTTCATAAACAATAATAAAAAGAAGCATGTTATAAACATTTTAAAAAAATCATGAGCTAACAAAAATATATAAGGGGAATATTTACATTTTTACAGCCCTTGAAATGTACTGTTTAGTTAAATACAAAATATGTAACCTGTGTGGAAACAAACATGAAGTGGTTACTGTTGCACATGCATTCGACAGTATGCCAAAAAAAAACTTGACACTTTTATCGAATATTGAAACCAGGGGTGCAGACAATCAGAAAGAAACATAAGAGTTTACAAATGGAGCTTTTTATAATTTCATTAGAGTCTGTGACAAATAATATAAGTTCATTTCAAATACGATTTTCAGTTCATGAGAATGTTAGAAAGAAATCTGATTCTCAGTATTTATATTCACCAAATCAGAGATATGAAGTTTCATAAATAGATATTTTTGTATTTTCTTATTTCCTACGTACTCACCCACAACAATACGAACTCTTTGGTGGCTTTGGAGAACATTCGTGAACTTCATTGGTGACTTTGTAGAGAAACGTTTGTTTAAATATCTTTATGGTTGCCATGGCAATTCATCACTATTTCTCGAGGAAGCACTATTACAGCAACTCTGTAGACCACTGCACGGAATGATTTTGACTTTTCTTCCATTACTCTGTGCTCTGGAAACTAACTATACAGCAATCCGACCCTGGTTAGTCCAACTTAACATTGTGTGCTTCTCTCAAATCTTAAGATAGTATATTTAAATTTTTCCTTGTTATTAAATTGCCAAGTTTTAATTATTAACTTTATGGCTGGCATCAATTAATGAATTTGATTTTTTAATATATTTACTAGCCCAAAGGGGCTATTAATTCTGTTTTGGCATTTTGTGTTGATTCACTATAAACGGTGAATCCCTTTTTAAATTGTTGCCATCAAATATTACACCCCTGTATTATATTTAAAGAAATTAAATAATGAAGAATCCGCATAAATGTTTGTAATATTTTCAGTAGCTCGGCATTGGAAATGATGAAGCTTAGCAGTCTGGTCACATCAGAGTCTAGGCAGAGTGGAAAGCAGCAGAATTGAAGACACAGAAGAATTTAACTTTTAAAATTCCATATCTTTATTCAACTCTGTTGGAAAATATGACCTATTGTAACCCTTTTTCTGCATCCTCTCTCCTCCTTGAAATAATTCTAACTTTTACATAAGGTTTAGTTCTTATTTTAAAGGGATATAGTAGTTATTTTTACTTCGTTTTTCACTGCCACTGTTTGTATTAAGAACGGACTGTTCCAGCCTAATTAAGATGCAAAAACGAAAGTTGATGTTACGCAATATGCAATGTTATTGCAAGTTCAGGGCTACACGGAAATAGAACCCGTAGCACCGAATGGCATAGCATCTGTGGTCCAGGAAGAGGTTATAGAGGCGCTGGCACCACTCACAGGAGCAGGGAGAATCAAAAAGACTACCCAACGTTCACTTCCAGTTAGGTCGCAACCAAGACATGAAGCCAGCCAGAGAACTGCTCCACAACGTAGAACACATTTGTGGAGGACTGACGATAATGTATCTCTCTGTTTTCATTGCAGACGCCCAGGACATGTTCTGAGGTACTGTAGAGAAAGACACCAGATATTTGAAAATGCAAGAGCTGCAAAGACATCCAACCCTCGACGGAACAGGCATATTGAATCTACATACAACTTCGACGATGAATATGCACAACCTAGTTCTTCCTGAATAAGGAGCAGTTCACCTTATCTGCGACGCTCTCTCAACCGCCGACAATCGCAGTCACCAGTACGCCGTTCCCCACGTCGAACCAATGAGGAAAACTAGCTCAAGCGACCTGTACAGGAGGTGAGGCCGCATTTGAAGAAAATCCTCTAACGTACACCCACAGCCAAGTTGGAAAAGAATAACACTTTTATCATCGTGAATGGACAGTGTGTGAAAGCCCTTGTTGACTCGGGTGCCGATTATTCTGTCATATCCGAACAGTTATGTCGACAGCTAAATGCTCTTATGTTTACTGAGAATGGACCTGTATTGGAAACTGCCTGTGGTAAAACTATAGCTGCCTCGGAGTGCTGTGTATTGAAAGTTGATTTGAATGGGACTAAGAAGCCGTTTGAATTCCTTATGTAGTCATTAAATGATACTTGGATGGAACTTTTTCCATGCCACCGATGCCGTTATTGATTGTGGAAATCAAGAATTTACAGTTGCAGACACACAGACAAAATCCTTCCAGACATTGAATATTTAAATAAGTAACAGCTCTCCTTGTTTGCCACAACTGATTATGTAATTGAAGCAAACATCGCAAAGCGAATATGTGCCTTGAATTCACAGTTACAGGAAGCAGATAAAGCTATGATTGTTGGAAATAGAGTTCTTATGTGCGAAAAAGAACTATCGATACCAGCCTCAATTGTCACTATAGAGGATGGTTTGGTAAATTATGGGTAACTAATTGTTCTCGACGAACCCAACTGATACCGAAAGGGATGAATGTAGGCTATTTAACGACCATAAAAAACGATGCTATTTGCTTCCTAAGTGATCAGGCTTCAGCAGGTTCCAAGGGACATAGGTCCAGGAAAAGGTTATCTCAGGAAAACTTAAAAGAAATTGTCAATACAGGTTTGACCAATGCTGAGAAAGACGAACTATTGAGTCTACTAGATGAATTTAGTGACATTTTTGACTTTAACAGTATTGCGAAAAAATCCCGATGTAATTCGGTGAAGCACAAGATTGATACAAGTGACAATGCACCAATCAAACAAAGGTGTGTCAGCCACTGAGAGGCGTGTAATTGCAGACGAAGTGCAACGAATGCTAAAAGAAGATGTGATACAACCATCAGATAGTCCATGGTCATCTCCAGTCACGCTTGTGAAGAAGAAAATGGTGAATGGTGTTTTTGTGTCGATTACAGAAAATTGAACAAGGTAACTAAAAAGGACGTCTATCCGTTACCTCGCATCAATGATGCTTTAGACTGCCTGGCTGGTGCAAAACTTTTCTCTATGATGGATCTGAAGTCAGGCTACTGGCAAATAGAGGTTGATGATAAAGACAGAGAAAAGACAGATTTTTTGTTACTCCAGGATGGTCTCTATGAATTTGAAGTCATGCCGTTTCGGATTATGCAATGCTCCAGCCACATTTGAATGGATGATGGACATGGTACTAAGAGGCCTCAAATGGAATATTTGTCTTTGCTACCTCGACGACATATTTCGTGTATGCACATCTAATTTCAAATAACATCAAAAGCGTTTGAGGGAAATACTCAAATATATCCAAAGAGCAGGACTGACGCTAAATTCCAAGAAATGTTTCATTCGGCAAAAAGAAGCTGACTATACTGGGACACTTAGTTGATCAACATGGGATATATCCCGATCCACAAAAGGTAGAGGCTGTAGCAAAGTTCCCTGTTCCACGAAAAATATCGCCGATGTCCGAAGTTTTCTGGGCTTGTGCTCCTACTACCGACGATTTATTCAAAAATTTTCGCAGATATTCGCAAAGCCCTTTGCATGACTTGTTGAAGAAAGATGCAAAATTTTCTTGGAACGCGTTACAGATTGAATCTTTTCGCAACGCTCACAAAAGGCTGCTGACCAGTGGCACTGTTTTGGGACATTTTATCCCAGACGCAGAAACCAGGATACATTCTGACGCTAGCGACGCTATGGCATCGGTGCAGTACTGGTTCAGATCCAGGATGGCAAAGAAAGACTAATAGCCTATGCATCCAGGTCCCTTATTGCAGCTGAAAGGAACTATTCCACCACTCGAAAAAGAATGCCTTGCCATGTCATCTGGGCAAGTTAGTAAATTCAAGGCCATTATCTTCTACAGAAAACCCTTCACAGTAGTCACAGATCACCACTCTTTATGTTGGCTGGCCAATGTTAAGGATCCATCCGGAAGACTTGCATGGTGGGCTCTCAGGTTGCAGGAGTACGACATAAATATTGTCTACAAGAGCGGTCGGAAACACTCCAATGCAGATTCACTATCAAACCTCTTATAGAACCAATAATTGAGAACAATGAAGACATCCCTTTCTTTGCAGCAATCGTAGATTACAGAAAACAGCAGCAGAAGGACAAACGATTAAAATCCATCATTACAACTCTGAAGAGAGGTGACACATATCAAAATTATTAAATAAAAAATGGTATACTGTACAAAAGAAGTTATGATCCTATGGGACAGCAGTGGCTCTTGGTGGTACCAAAGCAACTTCGTAGCGAGGTTCTAAGATGTCTTCATGATGCTCCAACTGCTGG